ATGCTGCTCTCCCTCGCAAGCATGCCTGCAGCCCCCTCCATTGGCACTGGCCTCCATTCTGGCTCCATGTACATCATCATGGGATGTGCCATCCCCCAGCAGGTGGCGTATCAAACAGTTGGCAGTATTGTCCAGCCTGGGAAGTATGTGGCAGCTATGATTAGTTCACACTGCCGGTACCATTGTCCCCTCACATCCAGGACTCAACACTGTTAAGTGGAAAAGAGCCCTTCCCCACCCTCTGAACAACGTTGAGAGCACTCTCTAATTGCTTCTTCTTAGGTGTCTCCACAAAACTGCTCACTGGCACCAGGAGCATTAGGACATTCAGAATCCCCTCATGCAGCTTATCTTCCTCATCCAGGTTGATGGTGGAGTCCGTCGTCAGTCTCCCCCCGCTGGGATTACTCATACTTTTCACCATGCCTGTTTTACAACTTCTAGGACATCTAGTGCAGGGGTGCTCTAAACATTTGGATCATGAGACTATGGAGATAGGCACCCATACAGTTGCTTTTTTGGAACATGTGGAGGTTTCCCCCAGTTCAGGGCTCCATCTCAAGACACTCTTATTTGGTAGCCTCACAAAGTAGAGTTCCTTCAGTTCCGTGCTGCAAGACACGAGAGCTGAACTCTACTGTTGAGCCTGGTACTGAGCCTAGTACCAAGCTGTAGAGTAGGTCTCTGCTGATGCAGAAAAAAGGGAAGAGTCTTTCCTTACTCACGCCCTCCTCTTCTCTGGATGAGGTACTTCTGGCTGCTAGGATATCCCCACCCTGGGTGACCACAAGGCCTACCAGGATTAAAGCAGATAGCCTTGAATTTGGGCATTCAGACAGAGGTGGAAAGAGGGACAACTCGTGGACTCTTGGACACTTTGGGGTGTCAGACCCCTGAAATGTAGCTCCTCCCCTTAATCAGGAGATCATGGAGCCTATTACGGCTCTGTCAGATCCTTACTTTTCTCCCAGCTACAGCTAAATGGAAGGAGCGCATATATTTTGTGCCTACTAAGAACTGCAAATACCTATTCACTCGTTCTTCTCCTGAGTCCTTAGTGATGGTAGCCATCAAGGTCAGTCAGGACCCACACTTAAGGTAAAGGATCCTCAAAAGCTGGACTTGTTTGGCAGGAAAGTCTACTCCACAGAAAGAGTGCTGCTCTGTGCATCAAACCAGCAAGCCTTGTTACGTTGCTATGGTTTTAATATATGGGAAGCAATGCAAAAATTTAAAGACCTGCTTCCTCAGTGCACCCAGGCAGGAGTTCTCTTCCATTGTAAAAGAAGGGAAAGACAGTGACTCGGGATTGATAACAAATTTGGTCATTCCCTGGTTGGATTAGTTCTGCTCAGACCAGTAGACATACTGCTGTGCTCACTGTTCCTGCTCAGGCCCCAAAAATTAGGTAAAGGTTGCTGATGTCTTTATGGTTAGTAGAAAATAATCACCAATTTCACAGCCAGATCAATGGCCATGGCTATCCTCATGCACAGGAGCTTGTGGTTACAGTCCTTTGTGTTTCCTCAGGAAATGCAGCAGATGGTGCAGAACCTTCCATGTGAAGTACAGATGCTAAGCTGCACAACCCTAAAGATTTTAAGGCATCTTTGAAATTCTAGGGCCGTTATTCATCTGGAGCATTATAGGCCCCAGCAATCTCATTGTTTCTACTCTCAACCGGCCAGACTTGAGCAGAGAAGGAGAAAGATTAAGATGTTTGCACCATCGCAGTCTGCCTCTCATCTTTCTGTCACTTTAAAGCACCTTTATTTCCAGTTTGTTTTCCCCCTCTTCCCCGACAGCCTGTCCATTTCCTCAGTGCCTGGAACAATATACTGCTGGGTCCTAAACACAGTGGAATTGAAGTATACCCTCCAATTTTTGTCAAAACCACCTTCTACCAACTCAACTTGTCTTTCTCTAGGGACTCTTCTCACAAGCAAATGTTGGACAAGAAGTAAAACTCCTCCCTTGGATGGGGGTTAAGGAAGGTGTTCTGCATCAAATAAGAGGAAAAGGTTT